ATTGTTGTCCATCTATTTTATCTTATTATTTACTATCAGCTACCTTTTTCTAATAAGTACCACTTGTTTACATCTGTTCTATACTCTCTCCTCAACCTACTGATTATGAAATGTCTCTCGCCGCTTTTGCTTTTGAGAATATTTTGATTTTGCTGATGATTCTGAACATCTTGAGCAGTCCATTGATTTTTTTAATGAACTATTTTCCTCGTGTTCTTTCCCTTAAGTGCAGGATGTGAGTACGTTTCCGTCGCCATACATCGTGGGCCATGTTTACACCGTTGGCCATGTCCACATCCCACATCACAATGCAGACATTACCAGAACCCACTTACAGGACGCTATCTGACCATCACCCCCGTTTTGCTTCAGAAGGCGGCCCAGCCACAACAGCCTTTTCTTATCTGCATCCTCCATCACGTCCACACGGAGCAACGTGCGGCCTGGCCCACGTTTCAGAGGCCCGATGCCCACATGGAGGGCCGGCGTCTGGGAGAGGAGGAGGGAGGATGGCGGGGCGGGTGGACGGGTGGGTGCAGAGCAGCTGTCTGGGTGGAGGGGAAGGGGAGGGGGAGGGGAAACGCTGCAGTCCTTATCGCTGCCGTGATACGTCGAGTGGGCACAAAGGAAGCTGGGTCAGCGCTCGCAGATGGTGACGCGCTCGGATCCTTACTGGAATCCACAACACAACAACAACTGACTAATCTCATCTCTGGTGTGATGACAAGAAGACAGAGAGAGAGAAAAAAGGAGAGTTTCAGTATGATGAAAAAATGGAAGAAAAAAGTTTGCGTCGCGGCATCGTAGGTGTTGAAAGCAGACTCAGCATTTTTTCCAGAAACATGTAAAGCTTTTTAAAGGAAGTTGTTGTGAAAAGGTTACAAAAAAAAAAACAACTAAAAAAAAAAAAGTCTGGAAAATACAGCAGCAGGGAATTACCGTAAAGCTTATCTTTAAATCATGTTGTTTGGTTTGTCAGGGACGCAGTCAAAGTCCACCGTATTTACTCAGGGCCTTTAGATATTATAACTGGAGCTGTATTTCTGCTTTTTTGGGGGTTTTTTTTAGAAGCTGAACTGCATGTGTGGTGAAAAATACAAGGACCACGTGTAACAACAAAAGGCCT